GACCACGGCTCCGGCCTTGGCCACTGCGGGCTGTGTACTGAGCATGGGACATGGCACAGGGAGGTGTTAGTCAAGTAGGAATCACAGGAAACGAGTGCTGGCCACTCCCACAGCCTCTACTCTGGGGCCTCGCACGGAGTAGCCTATCAGAACACAGGACAAAGCTGTGGTCACTGCTAGTCCCAAAGGCAGTGCTGGGAGGAGCCTCAGGGCCAGGGATCATGCAAGGGCTGCAGAGTCCCAGCACCCAGTCCTGGGTCTGGTGAACAAAGAAATGAAAGACTGCATGGACATGGGTCATCCTGCTTTGCTGTGGCCCCAGAAGACCCGGTCTTCTTGGGAACTCAGTTTCTCCATCTGGAAAACAGGGGCCAGCTGACACACTATTTAGTGAAGGCCCTCTGATTTGGGGATGTGCGACCACTGGCTTACACATGCAGGAGGAGCTGGGCAGGGAGTGCATAGTTCTGCTGGGTGTAGGAGGCCCCTGGAGTCACCACAGGTGCTGCTGTACTGGGGGAGGGGGCTGCTTCAGGGCGTGTGGGCTACCATGAGGGCTGGCCTCACCTGCTTGGACCATCAGCAGCCAAACTCGTATGGACACAGCGTATCTGAACAGCTGGACCCACACGGGAGCTGCAGAGACAGAGCACACATGAAGTACAGACCGGATGCCTAGAGATGCTGTTATAGGGGCTACCCTGGAGCAGGCATGGGGAAACTGCAAGCCTGGCCCTCTATTTTTGGAAATAAAGTTTTATTGACACACAACCACACCAATGAGTTTCTGTGCTGTCTGCAATTGTTTTCATGAAGGCATAGCTGAGGAGTCTTGACAGAGACCATCTGGCTTCCATGGCTGAAAACATTTACCATCTGGCTCTTCAGGGAAAAAGTCTGCTGAACCCTGGGCCATAAAGTGCCTGGTTTTCACTTCACACTTCTCTTATTTTCCTTTGTTTTATGGTGAATATGTATTTTATCCCTAGAAAAAAGACGTCCAAATCCATGCCTGCCTCAAAGCTCCCTGACTTCTCCACATTAGGAAAACTCCCTCCTTAGATCTGCCATGTCCCAGGTCTCATGATGCTGAGGGTTTGATTTCTGGGCTCTATCCTTGAAGAGGCCCCAGTGGCCACCTGCCTTTCTGTCCTCAGGAGGCCTCCATCTGAGCAAATGCACTGATTGTTTTCCGGCAACAGGTAGTACGTGAGTGCTGAGGGCACTAGAACAGCTGGTCTAAAACCAGGCTCTGCCCCAACAGGGACTGCCCGCACTGAGGGTCCTGCATACAACCTGCTGGAGAGTAGACTGCCAGCCCCAGTGCTGCCCCTGCCACTGTGTGACCTTCAGTGGGCAGGGCTCGCTTGTAGTTGCTCGAGTCCTTCCCAGCTCTGAGGTACTCTGATCCTATCCCCTCTCCACCCCCCACCCCGAGTCTGACCCCTTTCTGAAAGAGCCTCTGGATGGGTGGCCATGGCCAGGGCCAAAGACACAGGTACTCACCACAGAGCAAGGATTGGGCGGAGCAGGCCAGGAGCTGCAGAGAGAACCACAGGGTGTGGGCCGTGAGTTTCAGATAGCACCAGAGGCCACAAACTCTGATGCCTAGGTCAGCTAGGTCTTTCCCCCTGGGCCCGTCTCATGCACTCTCCCTCTACCCTCGGCCTACCTAAATTCTCCTTTAACAAATGTTTGGTAAAGAGGCATCTTTCAGAATATGAACCAGATAGTGTTACCCCCTTGCTTAAAACCCCACAGCCCCTAGAAGGAGCCAGGTTCCTTCCCTTCCTCACAGGTGTCAGTGTTGCTCCTGCTTCAGTGCCTCCCCACATGCTATTTCATCTGCCCGGAGCACCCTGCCCCATATGTACACATGGCCAGCCCTTCTCATGGGGTAGGTTTCAGCTCTAACTGGGTCTTCAGCAGCCCCCAGGCTCTCTCAATCCTGTCACCCTGTTCTATGGTCACCTATGTTTATTTGTGTGGTGCCTGCCTCCCCAGCAATAATGTTAGGGCCTCCTAAGGTGACCCCGGTGTCCCTTCAGCCTTGGCTGTAGGTGATAAGTATGTGTTGAGTAACAAACCCACAGAAACGAGCGTGGAAGAGCATGGGAAACTGTCTAACTGCCCAACCCTAGGCTGCTGTTTGAGCTGCTCCTCTCTGAGCCTCAGTTCCCCTATCTAAAAATTTAGGGCTTTGCACAAGCTCACAGCTCGGTAAATGCCCTTCACAGGTCAGCAGATCTGTGAAACTTCCACAAGAAATAAAAATACCCTTTGTTGTCACCATCTTACTGAAAATTGGTCTTTCTTTCAATTCTGAATGTCATCAACAAACCACAGGACCCGTAGTTTTTACTAAAAGAAATTACAGATACTCCCAACGGCATCGCAATGGTTGCAAACATATCCACCCATCCTTCAACACCATAGCAGACTTGGTGCTGGATTTCGAGCGTTAATAACCAAGCACCTCAATGAGGAACTCGCCAACTGTTTCGAGACAAAATCCTACCAACTATCTCGGGGTTACTGCTTTCCTTTGCAACCTTGTGGATTTCATCCTGTGCATTTAATCACTAATTTCAAGACGAAGGTCCCGGGAGCAGGCCAAGTTGGGACGCCTGCTGTGCGAGCGAAGTGACCTTCCCGAGGAGTTCCGGCCCCCTCCGGGCCTCAGTTTCCCCGCCAGTCCGGAAGGCAAGCCACAAGCCGCTTCTCTCTCGGAAACTTCCAGGACAGCAGAGCCTTGACCCCCTCCGGGCCTCGCCCGGGCGCCCTCCAAAGACTGGCGTGCCTGTGTCCCTACCCCGGCCTCAGTTTCCCCGAGAACCCAGACCGCGGCGCCCCGAACCGCTCACCCGCCAGCGCCGCCATCTCGGCCTCGGCCTTCAGATAACCTCTGCGGTCCGTCAACTTTAGTGCTCCGACTCCTAAGGATCTTCGCCCAAAGTGGTTCGGCTGGTGAGCGGAAGCCGGAACCTAGGCCCAGAACGTTCCGCCTTCGTGGACGTCTCCTACAACGTGCACCCCCGACGCCCCACGAGGGATAAAAAGTTATGGGGGTTTGTCTCAAAAAAAAAAAAAAAAAAAAAACCGAGGGCACGCCCACTTTTTCCTTACCCGAGAAGCAAAAGCAAAAGTCACGTCCCTGGGTGGGCTCGAACCACCAACCTTTCGGTTAACAGCCGAACGCGCTAACCGATTGCGCCACAGAGACGGAGCTGTAGCTGCTGGTCAAACGCTGCTCTACGAGGCATATGCGATCGGTAAATGTGGAGTGAAATACATCTGTGTGTTGACGTCTGAGTAAAATCGGGTAAAAAACGGGACGATAGCGACACCTGCCACCCAAGCGAAAAGGCTCAGTTGGAAAAGTGCGGCACTGAAGGTTCAAAGGTCCCCGATTCAATCCCGAGTTTCGGCGCCCCGGGAGCATCTTTATTCTTTCCTCGAGACTCGTGCAGTTTCTCCCGTCACCAGAAGTGTCCTCATTCTGCAGATAACGAGCAGGGCTGCCACTCATTCCAACGTGGGACGGACAGAGCAAGGCACTCAAACCCCCGTGAAGACTTGAGAGACCTCCAAGGCTAAGATTTCAGCCTAAACGTCCCATTTCCCCAACCCATTTTTTTTTTTTCTGGTAGCATTACCACAGCTAGTTGTAAACACAAACACTACTGAACACCAAAACTGGCAAAATAGCTTGCAAGAACACTCTTCACTTGTATGTCATGTAATTTTTTTTCAAATCCTTGTCCAAGGATACATTTATTGATATGAGAGAGAGAGAGAGAGAGAGACATCAATGTGAGAAACATCAATCAATTTGGCACCAATTCGACTGGGACTATATCTACAACCTAGGTATGTGCTCTGATCCGGAATTGAACTTTTTCGGTCTCTCAGTTTTCGGGATGACGCCCTACCCACTGCGTCAAACCAGTCAGGGCAAAGTTTTTTGTTTTGTTTTGTTTTAAATTTAAGATAAATAACAGATTTGTAGAGATGTCAACGCTGTGCAATGAGAATACCCCCTCCAGGAAGTGGTTCTGTAGAAACCTGCTACTTCCCTGAGGGTGGGTTTCACTGCTCCACTATGAGGCTGGTGCTGAGAGTTAACTGACCATAGGGGATGGCCGGATGTGGTCACAGGGTCCCAGGGTCCCAGGGCCTGGATGAGGTTCTGGATTAAACTGGGGAAGGCAGGGGTGAAGGGCAGTTCCCCTGGAGGTCCTGTGTGGGGGAGGACAAGGGAACAGCAGAGAGAACCCAGCAGGTTGTAGCAGCTTTGAGCAACTAGCTAGACAAAGCTCCCAGGAAGGAGTAGAGGAGGTAGATAGGAATCACTTCCTCCATAGTAAAGGTGACAGGGAAAGGCAGAAAGAACCCCATCAGTTTATAGGGGTGCTTCTGGCAAGTGTATGGGGCCAGGGATGCTGCTCAACTCCACCCTCCTGAAACCTGTGTCAGCAGTACAGAGGGGAGAGCTGGCTGTAAGGGACACAGGCTCAGCTGCCAGAGTACCTGAGGGAAGCCATCATCACTGAGAATGGGGTTGTAGGAGAGGGTGTGGATAGGTGGAGTACTCCAGCTGTACCCTGCCTTTTGTTGGGTGAAGTTCATCCTCTCCACGCTTCAGAAGCAGCTGAGTGACACTAGCTTACCCCGGGGCAGTGGCTACCTCTAGGCTTTCTAGGACACTCCTCACTTGACAGGTAATCTGGCTATGAACTACTACCTGAACTACTACCACCACTCATTTAGAGGGAAAAGAGACCCCCGCCAACCCCAAGAGCTACCACTACCAAATATGAACACCCTTAGAATCCACAAAAATACAGCAAGTACTGAAAACACCTGCTGGAATGTGGGACCAGGCTGTAGAAGTCTCCCCAGATAGGGCTTGGAGCTCCGAGGATAGGATCCCACAAGCTCCAAGCCCACCCAAGGGAGACTGCATGCCTGCATGCAGGGCCCAGGAAAGCAGTCAGATCTCCAAAATGACATTTATTTTTCCACCTGAATGGTTTAGGTCTGCAAGCACAGACTTGAAGCACAGTGAAGAACAGAGAAAAAATACAGGAATTTAAAAGCACTTCACAGTAACAGGATAACCTCACATAGGCCACAGGATTTCCACTTGGGTACATTTGTCACCCAGGAGAACAGCCAGTATATTCAGATGGGAAACTTCTCATTGACTAATTTCATGAAGGTTCGCTGTCAGTAGACGGCGCTGTTGGACTTTTCTGGAAGGGAGCCAGGCTCACTTTGGCAGTGTGGGTGGGGCCACCCTGTGTGGCTATGGAGGTCTCTGTCCAGGAAAACTGATCTGTGCAGAGCCAGGTTACTAGGCATCAGAAGTCTTCCCCCTCAGATGCAGACCCTCACCCACCAATGATTTTGGCTCTGGGTCACTAGTTCTTCCCTCGGAAGTCACCCCTCTGGCCAACCTGGGAGGGATAGCAGGGGAGCTGCATGCAAAGATCTCCTGCTTTTAGATTTGAGCAAAATCACCTGAGACATAGATCACCAGCAGAGTTCTGGGGCAAGGTTGCAAGCCATTTCCCCAGTGTGTCCCACTAACTAACCAGAGGTGATTTCTACATTTCCTTCAGACTTCTTGGGGACCCAAGGCACCCACCCTTGCATATCCCATGAGAATCTCCTGCTGACGGCCTTCTGCAGTAATTCCTGTTGGGTGAGGGGGACATCAGGAGAGAGGGCACTATCATGCCAGTGGGTGCACTGACCTCAGCCCAGGGATGACAATGAAGCCAGGGTGGTGACAACAGGGCAGGGCCTTGAAGTTAACGTCATTGATGTTTACTGCCACATCAGCTTAGAATAAATAACTCACTGGTACGTGGCTCTGACTGTTTACCCGTGTTCGAGGCCTGGCCAAGTGAAAATGAGGCATGGGTCTGCACATAGCTAGGGTTCCAAGTCAGGGACTCTTGGGGCCATGAAACCTGTCTCATGCTTTGGGCAGGAACAAGAGCCCAATTCTATGGCTTCCAGATCAAGAGCTGGGCCCAAGACCTGTGCATGATGACCTTGGCTGTCCATGTTGGAGCAGTGAACACACAGTATCATCACGGCTACCCACACAGATTACTGAGACCACAGGGTCGGCCGGGTGGTAACAATGCCCAGCACATGGACAGATGCTGTCTCATACGGACACCCATGGCGGATGGGTGGAGCAGAGACCCCCCCCCACATGAGACCAAGGGGAAAGAGACCAAGAAAGATTTATGTCCATCTCTTGTCCTGCACAACCAACACCGCAAGTGCTAAAGCATGAGAAAGCAGCTGGTCTTTGGCTCCATCTTTTATAAACACTAGTTGTCCTAAAAAATGTACAAGGAAACATACCAAACTCAGGAACAATGTTAAGAGGAAACCACACAAAGAAGGGGGAATGGAAAAATATACAATGTCTCTGGAGCTATACATTCATATCAAACTTATTTTTAAACTCCTGTTTAATATCGGATACAATGCTTTTTAACATAAAAAGACAAATGTGTACCTTATATTAAACTATTCTATACAGTCACAAGTAATGATATAAAGCAAAATAAGTCATTTTTGTCCTTCTAAAAACCTTTCAAGAACTGTATCTTCCCCCCAAAGCCAGGAAAACAGAGCCCACAGATGCATCTGACACGTTTCCCAGCCCCGTCTTTCGACAGCACGTTCAACAGAACGGGGACCTCTGGCGACTCCCGCCACCACCCGATGGCACCTTCCCACGTCAGCATCGCTGGTTCCTTTCTTCTAGGAGCTGGTTGTCAAACATTTCTTTCTCCCTTCAGAAGACAAAAAAAAGACATCTTCATTTTTAGTAATTAATCATGTTTCAAAGAGCACGAAACAGAGGAGGTGGTGTATGATAGGGGCAGAGTCTCAGGTGGAGAAGATGGAAAGTCCTGGAGATGATGGTAGTGATGGTTGCACGACAATGTGAAGAATGTGTTTAATGCCACTAAACCGTGCACTTAAAAATGGTTAGGGTGGAGTTTTGTTATGTATATATTATCAAAACTAAGTAAAAATAAATTTTAAAAGTCTGAAATATCATATTATCCTTATTAAGTGACTCCCTGGTAAGAAATACTGTGTTAAGAATCACTTGGTTGGCCACTACACTCAGGGTAGAGGTTAACAAGGAACACCGATTCTGAGGGGGGGTGGTGGCAAAACATGGGAACATGGGCGAGGTAAGTGTGCACACGTCAGATCAAAACAAGAAACACAGGCAGCATGAAAAATAGGAGGAAGGTAACAGCACGCACAGCGCTCACAGTTCACACACCTTTGCAATGCAGAGTATAATAAAGCCACATGTGTGCACAACCTCTGAACTTGTAAGATGAGAGGAACACAAAGGTGATGGAGCCCATGACAGACCATGTGGATGAAAATAGGCCAAAGGATAAAGAGGACATTCACTAATTGTATTCCTTAGACCATGTCCCTGAGGAATAAAAGGGGGGGGGCCTGCATTTTCACCCTAATTCAGTGACATTAGCCAATGAACCCCATTTTCAAGGGCATTTCACATGTTCCTGGCAGACAGAAGTAGCAAAGAACTCCAAACACTCTTAATGCTGGCAAGCCAGCAGAAGGGAGGGCACGGAGCCCTGGCTGGTGTGGCTCAGTGGGTTGAGTGCCAGCCTGGGAACCGAAAGGTTGTTAGTTTGATTCCTAGCCAGGGCACATGCCTGGGTTAGGGGACAGGTCCCCAGTTCGGGTATGTGAGAGGCAGCCAACTGATGTTTCTCTTGCACATCAATGTTTCCTTCTTTCTCTCTCCCTTCCACTCTCTCTAAAAGTAAATAAATAGCCTTGGTTGGTGTGGCTCAGTGGATTGAGTGCCGGCTTGCGAACCAAAGGGTTACTGGTTCAATTTCCAGTCAGGGCACGTGCCTGGGTTGTGGGCCGGGTACCCAGTGTGGGGTACAGGAGGCAACCACACATTGGTGTTTCTCTCCCTCTCTTTCTCCCTCCCTTCCTCTAAAAATAAATTTAAAAACCTTATAAATAAATAAACAAACAAACAAATAAAATCTTAAAAAAGAAAAAGGAAGGGCATGGAGATGGGGATGAAGTCACGGGAGCAGAAGGCTGAGCTCCGAGGCGCTGCTGCTCTGCCCTCCACTGCCCAAGACCACTATCTTTTTTTTTAATCCTCATCCGAGGATATTTTATATTACTGATTTTAGAGAGAGAGGAAGAGAGAGAAACATTGATGTGAGAGAGAAGCATCAATCAGCTGCCTTTTACATGTGCTCTGACTGGGGATCAAACATGCAACCTGAATATGTGCCCCAACCAGCAACCGCACCCACAACCTTCTGGTGTATAGAACCCTCCAACTGAGCCACCAGGCCTGGGCCCAAGACAACTGCACACAGAGCCAAGTGATCCTTCTGTGGGCAGCTGCATAGCAAGCCTGTCATCCCCTGCAGCTGACAGGTGGCCCTCCTAACCATCCTGCATATGCTGGGGCCCTTCCTAGAAAGGACGCCGAGCATCCTCAACCCTGAATGTCCCATGACAGTGCCCAGTCAACTCTGGACAGAGCCCTTGGCCCATGACTCTAGCTGAGGCTTCAGCCTATCACAGGAACACAGTCAAGTCTGTTCCCAGCAAGGCCTGGCAGCACGCCCAGATGGGATTAGGGGCTCCGGGGCCAGAACTCCAAGGTCAGCTAACCACACCAATGTGAGAGAAACATCTTGATCAGAGCCTTCTCTGACTGGTCAGAACCCATCAGGCCAAGTGCTGCCTGTTCTCAAATAGCCACGGCTCTGCAGCAACAGGGGAGAGTTGGATATACAAACATGAGCCCCCAGCAACAGGAGATTAGGCAGAGAGGCCTGAACACATGTCCACTGGTCACCCTGGCCGCCCCTGGGCTTGTGTCCATTTCAGGGGCCAGGGCCCATGGCCCAAACTGGCCAGAGGACAGAACTTTCACTCCTGGCTTTATCAGGTTTGTCTGGCAATTCATCAGCCAAGAGTTAATGTATACTTTCGAGTTTCTGTGATCAAGTGGGCATCTGGACCAACACGTCAAGAAGAGGGGCCTCAGTCTCAGATACTAGTGTGTGTGCACACACAAGCCTTGGAAGATAAGCTGCAAAATGGTTGGGACAGGGCCCTGAGCAGCCTACCGGTAGCTCAGCAAAGGTCCTTTGATGTACTTCTCCTCGGCTGTCTTGTAATCTACCGCGTCCACGGCAGAGATTGCACAGATGATGGCCTGCAAGAGGGGGACAGGTCAACACTGGGCCAGACCACTTGTGGTGCTAAACTCTGAAATCCACGTGGGGCCAGTCTGACCCCATGTTGGCCTCCAGACATGTCGTGGGTTATGGCTCAAAAGATATGGATGGAACCTGTGACAGCTCTGCTTGCAATAAAGTTTATGAATTAAATCAGTAACATTACCTTCTGGACTAGATGGGAGTTCTTGTCACTAAAAACATAATGAAAAGCAGCACCCAAACAAGTGCATTTTGAACATTTTTGAGTTTACTGTTAAAACATCAGGGGCAGGCCTCTGTGGGGCCGTCCTAGGTACTGTGGGATACGGAGCAGCATCCCTGGCCCCATACCCTCCATGCAAAGAGATGAACGCATAAGGGCTCATGACTTTCTTTTGTTTTTGTATCACCTTGAGACTTTCTTTCCACAAATACAAAGTTCAACATACTTGCACTTGACAATGTCTTTTGCACAGTGTGTACATGCCAGGCAGTGCCCTCTCTGAACTTAATGGTAACCGAGGAGCCATACCTGCTCCTCGCCCGGTCCAGCCCCGACACTGAGGAAAGTTAAAAAACTCCCCTTTTCCTGAGTAAATTCTGGAACATTTACTACCTGTGCATGTAGATGACACCCAAATCTCATTCTCCCAGGGCTGGCAATGAAACCAGAACATCCGGCTCTGTGCCACTGCCCACGGAGGAGCGAGGCGAGTGCTGGGCTCCATAATGCAAAGGCCTCCAGGCAGGTTTTGGGACGGTGATACCCCAGCACCAAACTGCCCCATACCCCCTACAGCCCATGCCTGGCCAAAGCTGGGCTGGGGTTCTGGTTGAGGCCACATCACAGACCCCTACCACCCACACACACAGGATACCCTGCTGGCCACTCACTTCAGGCAGAAGAACATCCAGGATGAAGCGGATTCTGTCCCCATTGATCTGTGTCAGCATCCTGCTACCCGTCTCCTGGTAGAACCCCTGCAAGTACTTCACCACCAGGTCCAGCTGCTCCTCGTCCTCCAGGTACGTCTCCACACACGTCATGTACTGCCCCGAGTTCAGAAATGTGTTCAGCCACCTGGATGGCTTTGTGTTCCTTAAGATGGCCTGCAGATGGCTCTCAGCACCCCTCGCCTTCACGATGTACTCCACTAGCTTCTGGTTGGCACGGTCCCGCGCCGCTCGAGACCGGTCGGGCAGGACTTTTCTGTAGGGCTGCCTCCTGCCCCAGGGGCTCCCAGCCACAGGCATCTCAGGGTCCTCCTGGCAGAGCTGAGGGAACCGGGTCCCTAAGACATCTTGCTGGATGGACTTGCGCACAGGATAGCCTGCAGAGGAGGCACACAGCCATGAGACCACCACTCACCCAGGTGGGGTCCTGTTCACTACATTCTGTGGGGGTGAGGGAGGCCCCAGGCCTGGGGATACTGGGACACCACATTCCTGAAGAGCTCTTCCTTTGTCAGGAGCTGTCTTCTCTCTCCCAACTCTGCCCTTCAGCCAAGTTTAACTTAAAAGAGCAGAGCCCCTTCAATCCCCCAAAAGCAGCATTTAATTCATCTACCTCCCTCTTTAAGGACAGAAGGAATGTGACAATGTATGGCTGTCAGTAACTGAGAACACAAAGCAACAAGGAAATGGCTGTTCATGTATTTTTAACACTTCGGTATTAGTGCAGACAGGGCAGTTCTGGATGTGGACATGCCATCCAGGCCCCTACCGCGGGGTGGGGGGAGACCTGGGGGTGCTCCATGGACACTGGGCTAGGCTGCATGGTCCTACTACCCAGGAGCAGGCTCAGGACACCTCTTGCTTTTAGACTAAAATATGGGCCATGCTAGGAGCTGGTGGACTTACTTATATCGGCTGCATAATATTCCAGAAAAGAGCCAGAGAAGGAACCACAACCTGCACAGGAGAAAAGATGGGAGAAGGCACATCCATGACACATGAAGTACGCGCTAGAATCTCCTAGGCTGTAGGGTCATGTTTCAGGTCTAAGCAGACCCCTTCCAGCAACAAGCCTGATTTAGATTCCCAACAGCCTAACTTGGGGTGGGCTGAAACCTGTTCTGGTTCAAAGGCCTTTTCTCCATGTCCAACATGCCCACCTCTGCCTGGGCACCTGCTCACCTACCCGTGCTGGGGACACGACTGTCAGGGGCCTGGCCAGACTACCATGTGGAATGGGCCATGCTCAGCCCTCACTAGAGTCTGCAAAGGAGGGTCTGCTGCCCTTGCCCACGCCCTCTGTCTGGTGCCGTGGAGGTCCCACATACCAAGCCGGACCCTGTAGTCTGTGATCAGGGAGACGCACCAGCCAATGGCCTGGTCAAAGTCCTCCTTGGCCTTGTTCTGCAATGAAAGAGAGAGAACAAGTGTCAATGGGAGTCTGCTGGGCTCCTCACCACTGCCTGCTTTCTCAGTGCCTGATACCTGACAGGTGCTCCCGGGCCAGGGAAAGCCTGGCAAGGCCCAGGTCTGGGGCTGAGCTTTTCACAAAATGGGCCTTTGTCAGCCTGGCTCTGGGCCAGAGACTTAAAGGCTTTAAGAAGAGGAAGGTGTATAAACATCCAAAATTGCAGTTGCCATGACCACCATAGAGAGAAGACATTAAAATCATGTGAAATAAAGAAAAATGGAGACAACTGTATTTGAACAATTTAAAAAGTAATAAAATAAATAAAAAAGAAAAGTAAGTTACAAAACAAACGAACAAAAAAACATGTGAAATAAATCCTTCTAAGAGATGTCTTTGTGTACAGAACTTGAAGCACGGAAGCATAAGGCTGGAGGGAGGGACACTCAGCCACCACTACCAAACCAAGGACAATACAACCGGCAACGCTTCCTTAGCTGGTACAAGCTCCCAAGAAATGTCCACAGGCTCAAGAGAAACTGAGACCCACATCCCGAGTTACCGTTGCTTTGGCCCAGCCTCCCACCTGTGGTTGCTGCATGAGGCAGGCAAGGGATGCAAGCAGAGCAAACAGCTCTAGGGGTAGGGGGAGAGGAGCTCACTGACTGGCACCTGGGATGGCAGGCAGTGTGGATCCTCAGGAAAGGAGATACACAGGGCCCTACAGATTCCACGAAACAGTGAAACAGTCACGCAAGCATCAGTGGAGGTAGTCCAAATCTGTCAACAACCCAGAACAGGTAACACGTCCACCCCTTGAAGATGCTGCTCACTGCCACTCAGAGGAACCAGCCCCTTGTGCTCCACTGCACATCTATCTCACAAGTAAACCTGGGGAACAGGAAGCCAGCCATGGATGGCCTCCAGGCATCTGAACCACGAGAGGCCCCTGTGCCATCTTTTGTAACAGAAAGATTTTGTAATCTCAGAGCGAGATTCCCACTCCTTTCTGCACATTCCATGGGAAAGTTACAGGACCCTAAGAATGCACACAGCGCACAAGGAGTCATGTGGCTCCTGGCCTGGAAGGCTGGGTGAGTAGCTCCCTATACAAGCAGACTGGCATTCCAGGCGGGCATGGAATCAGGCTCCCTCCAGAACCAGGTCCCACTGACAGGCACTGATAGGGACCAGGTGCCTGGTGTTGGTTGTGGGTTAGACAATGCAGTGAACAAACTTGAACAGACAAGACGGGTGGAGCAAGACTCATGTTGTGGGTATGGGCAAATTGGAAATAAAAGGGCTGGGGTCTGGTATGGGTGCCAATCTTCTAAACACTTATCCACCCCTGTAGCCCAAGGCCTGCTACCCTCAGAGAACTAGGGCAGGCACGGGCAGTGAGCTTCCCAGATCCCAGCGCTGAGAAAGTGGCTCAGACACAGACTGCTTCCCAACCTGGAAACCCAGGAAACCCTAGCAACTGCTGTGGGAACCCCTACCGTACCCCTGTATGGTGGGGTACAGGCAGGAGTCTCCCCACCAGCCCAGTTTCCGTATTTTTCAAAGCTGGAACAAAAAGCAGTTTTTTCAAGGCTGAACAGTCAGCATTTTGAATGGAGCAGCCCCTCACAGTTCATGGACTGATGTATGTAACAGAGCTGATCAAAGAATCGGAGGGACGTGGCCACTGGAAGCACAGCAGGTACCCTAGGGAGTGTCCTGGCCCTGACTCAAGCGGTACTCAGGCACCATGTAGGGCGGGGTCCCTACTGTAAGGCACCCTTGTATCTCATCCCAAGGGGGGCAGGGCCCTCAAAAGGAGTCAGAAGGAGCAGACCTTGCACCCAGGCTCCCTGCCACTTAACCCCCCCCAGCCCAGAACAAATGGTTCCTCGCACCACAGCCTCAGTGTCCACCCCTGAACAACAGGGCAGACAGGTAGCAAGCTCCCGGGTGGTTGAGAGTCCCATGCAGGGACTCACAAGGGTAGTGGCAAGACCCGGCATGGCAGGCGCCTAGTACCCCACGACAGTGGTTTCAAAGACCCCACAAAAGACACTGTGACCAGTCACAAGGGAACTATTTAGATAAGCACAGACAACAAGCCACCTACCAGAAGTGCCTGTTTCTCTTTACAGTCGAAGTGCTTCAGCCTCCTAAGAGGCACTGTGATGCTGCAGGAAGCAAGGGCAAGGTTATATGAATGGAAGACACTCCGTGAACTAAAAGACATTCTCTTCCTCTGACAAAGTAGGAGCCACGCTGGGGTTTCTGCCAGACCAGGTTACCCAAGACAACTGCTGTCCTCAGCTGTCTGAAGTAGCCCCTTGAAGCCAGGCCCCGGAGTGATGGGTACCCTCTAGTGGGTACTTGTAGGGACATAGCTGGGGCTGTGGTGCAGGACAGGCAGATGCCAGGGCCCAACCTCCACACTGCTGGTGACCAAGGGAGGGATGGCAGCACCCAAGTGACAGAGGATCAGAGAGGACCAGCTCCACAGTCACCTAAGTGACGAGGGACACGGTGCCTTCAGAGCTTACTGGGAATAGAGTGACACATTGTGTGCATTCTCACCCCGTGACGAAGGGAAAGTGCAAAAAGACGGGCAACGACCCGCATGGCAAAACTCAGATGGCGTCAGGTTTGCTGCTTATGACCTACATGAAGGGAGCTGCCTCTGCTAATTCATGGAAAATGGGGGTCTAATGCTCGTCTTGCTGGGTGGCCTTTCAAAGCTGACAAATTGAGGTGGGAAAATTGAGCTGCTGAACCTGGCGACCCCACCCCAGACGCCTGCGCCCCGGGTCCTACTTCAGGAAACATCTGTAAAAAGCCAGGAACGGTGGGCTCACCCTCGTCCTTTCGGGTCCATGTGTCCTTCAATGAAAAGCACACTTGCTTTCTTGTCTCTCCGCCTGATATTCTTGACCTACGGGTGAAGCCAAGAAAACAAAGCATCAAGAACCAAGGAGGAGCAGTGGGTTTTAAATATTTTTCTGACACCATCTCGTTGAGCAAGAGGTGACCAACTGGTATGTGTGACAGGGAATGCCACTGGCTGGGGGACGGAGGTGAAGACCACATGTTAACATTCTCAGGGACTGCCCAAATTTTGCTGCATGCATGGCTCTGAGAGGCTTCACAACTGAGAACCAGGCAGGGTTTTCCTAAATTTTTAAATAAAAGCAACCACACCTGCTGCTGCCAGCCATCTCCACGTAACTGTCGTGACTGACGATCCCACTGAAGAGCAAGGCTCGTTCAGGATCAGCCCAGAACACGAGATGGAGGCAGGGCCTGACCCCAACCCGCGCTCTCAGACTGTGAAGGCCGAGGAACCCCTTTCTGTAGTGCCTCACAGGCTGCACATGGGGTTTACTGGCCAGTGTGGCCATGGATACTCATACCCCAGAAATATCACCCCAAGAATCTGTCATGTTGCTGACTTGTTAACCAGCAGGGCCTCCAGGGAACTGGTGAAAACAAGAAAAGGGCTGAAAGGACCGGAAAGAGGGTGCTTACTGCAGGCAGGATGCAACACCTGTTGCAAAGTGGGTGCTGGAGGGAAGAAGAGGGCCCGATAAACAGCCACTACGACTGTGCCAGGGGCTGTATGAGATGCTGGGCTCACCAGATGTGTGTTCAAGCTACAAATTCTACCCACAAATGCTTCCCAGTCTGGTCCTGCCCTCCCCATAGCCATGCCGCCCTATACAAGGAGGCCCTGTGACTGCAGGGCAGACTCATCCAGATGATACAGCTGCTCCTGACTACAACAGATACCTTTCCAACTTAAATGCCATCGTCTCTCACTATAAATTAAAGAGTCCAGATAGAATAATGCAGATCCTGTCTCAGCTGGAGGAGGATAAAAGGGGAAACGAAGGGGTGAGAGTAGCCAAGACAGTGCCTTTACCTAAACAATAAACTTAGCATTTGCAATGTCTGGTGTAAACAGAAAGCAAAGCCATAAACTTGGCTACATTTCAGCTCATTCACCTCACTGGGGCACTGGGCAGTATCTCAAATGCCTGTTTTCATACAGACAACACTTCCTACCCCAAAATATGAAAGATTGAAAAGCTCCCACAAGAGGCCCTGGATGGTGTGGCTCCGCTGACTGGAGCGTCACCCCGTAACCAAAAGGCTGTGGGTCCCATCGCGTTCCCGGCACATACAGGAGGCAACTGATCAACGCTTTTCTCTTATATCGATATTTCTCTCTCTCCCTCTCTGAAAAAAATGTTCTCAGGTGAGGATTTAAAAAACAACAAACAAACAAACAAACAAAAACACATCAAAATCTTCCATAGGGAAAAACTCTGAAATGCACATTTAAAATAAGGAAAACTGGATATTTTTTTCAGGCAGGTTTTCACAAGCCTGGTCGGTAAAAATGTGACCTGTAAATCTTACCCTCGTTGGTGCCACAACTACTAAATTCCCTTTGTTTAGGTACAGGTGTCTTCAAAAATCTTACCCGTAAGCCCATCACTTTTCATAGTAATAATTAAATGGTAAAAACATTTGCCCAGGTCCAAATGTCTAGGGGACTAAGTAACTGCATCTAGGAAATAGAGTTGTTCTTACCACTGCAGGCCAGAAGGGGTATTTTTGGTATTTAAGCCAGACCAACATTCCTACTTCAAATGAGCGTGGTTCTAGAATTAAAAAGAAAAGAAAACAAAAAGAAGAGGCAAATCAGATCCATGTCAAGGAGCAAATCCAACAGCTTGAGAAAACACAGTTACTGTGATAACGTTTAAATGTGTTGTTAACACAATTCACAGAGAGCACCGGAAAGGTATTTAACTCCCTCCCTAGAATCTCAGGGCTGGTTACGAGCAAGCTGCAGGGTTGGCACCACACCGGTTTCCTAATGGTGACAATATGCCAATCACAGAGGTGGCAAACAAAACAGGGGAAGCTGGTAGCAGGAACCCTGTACCGTGTTAGCAATGTCTCTGTAAATCTCAAATTATTCCAAAATAAACATAAAAAAAAAGTGTCGGTAGAAAAACCAAAATGAAGCCAATGGTACACAATGAAAACCCAACGTGAAAACTGTTTCTGAGAAGCTCATCTGTGAGAAACGGGGGGCTTTTAAGGGGAAAGAGAATTATTTAAAATAATCATCAGAGAATTACAAAATTATTTCTGAACAAAATTAAACTGAATTCCACCAAAACCTCCCCAGTGAGTAAATAATTTAAATGTTTAAAAAACTGGATAACAAAACCTTGGAGAAAAGAGGCTGGTATTTGACCCGGAGCCAGGATCCTCTGCTGGACACTGCGGTGGGAAGGGGAAGCCGTGCTGGCCGACGACTAACAGTTAAAACTCTACATAGTAAGGAGCAAGAGCAAGGGAGGACACCGGCAAACTGGGAAGCCGCCTTCCGCAGGTCTGTGAGGGACAGTTACCCCCATGAGAAGCCTCCCTTTCTCAGAGGACAATGGATCAGGGTGCAGACGGCCAATTCAGAGACCAAGAGTAAACAGCCAGACAGAGGATCAGGATTACGGTGAAAACCCAAAACAAATGGAAGCAGAAACCAGGAGGAAAAGCAAACATCCAGGTTTTGGCAGCCTAGGCAACCTGACCCACATCATGTGGCAGACAGGGCAGAAATGCCCCTTTGGAAAAAGGCGGTGTCCCTTCTCTGTGGCCTAGGAGGCCCTGTTCAAGGAGCTTATGCTACAGAGTTATTTCCCAGAAGCATCCATCACAGGCACTGTCCCCCATAGTTGGGGGACAATCTATACACCCAACAGTGGAGGAGGAGGCTCCGTATGTGACTGCCCATCTTTCCTAGTAAATGGTAACTAGTTCCCACAGGAAATAATCACAATACCATGTGGAAATGTAAAAAGAAAATGTCTAAATTACCATTAAGTTAAGGGGGAAAAAAAGAAAAATGCAAACCTGTCCGTACAGTGACAGTGAGAGAGAAGCACTCAGTGGTTTGAGAGAAAAGACTGTGACAAGGGCCAGCATGGGAGATGTGGGGACACCCTGGGGCTATACCCATAGCGTGGCTTCCTGGTCTTACAGGCTATTGCCATTGGGAAGCTGGGAGACAGGTCTCCATCCCTCCCTGTGCATGCTATTTCTGCGACATCCTGTGAATCTATAATTCTTTCAAAACTGAAAGGTTAAAAAAGAAAAACAGGCTACATTCTGTTAACGTGAGAGGTTCATGGGTGAGTCTAACAAGGGAACTGGTCCTCGATCACTTTTTTTTTTTTAATAAGAAATCGGTTTTTACTTATTTTTATTTTTTAAAATTTATTTATTTGTCTTTAGAGGGGAAGGGAAGGAGAGAGGGAGAGCACATCAATGTATGGTTGCCTCTCGTGGGTCCCCAGCTGGGAACTGGCCTGCAACCCAGGCATGTGCCCCGACTGGGAATCGAACCGCAATCCTCTGGTTCACAGGCCCGAGCTCAATCCACTGAGCTACACCAGCCAGGGCCCTCGATCACTTTTTTCACGACGCAAACTGACTTTGGGTTGTTACTCTGCAGTCTGGGGCCCCGGCTGATCTGTTCAGGATGGTCTGCTCAGAGCAGGCAGCACGTGTGGGAGGGCGCCAACTCCCACCTCTGAAAGACACACAGATGCCGTCTCCAAAAGCCTGTGAGGGGTGCCAGGTCATACCCCGATGTGGCCAGGGAGCTCTCACCTGTTCACTTGGTTGTACTATTTCCACAAGGGACAGACAGCAGGATAAGTAAGGGAAGGAAGCCATATGCTAACAAAGACTCCCTCCTTCCTCTGTGTGGTTAAGCTTAAGGCAAGGAACAGAAAGTGTGGCACTTTCCAAGGTCTTGGTTCAGCCAGAGGAAAACAGGAGAGGAAGAGACCTTCCAGCAAAGGTCTCACAGTGGTCCAAGAGCATGCACTTCCTTCCAGAGGACGGGGCACTTGAGTGCGCTACCCCCAACCCCCAACCCCTGGGTAATTCTCAAGCCTTACCATGGTATAAAAGGAGTCTTGGGAGTTCCTCATCCTCCTCTTCCTCCTCCAGGATGGAATTAATGGGATCAAACTCCATCGACTCTTCAGAAGACTGACGGTCTGCCAATAATGTCAGATTAGACTTTCATGGTCAGTGGCTCATCCCAAGAAAAACACTTCGTGATCCGTGACCATCAGTGAGAACAGATCCCATGTTACACAGACTTCCACACTGCCCGATTCAAGTGGGGTGCACTTCCATTAGAGGGCATTTAAAAGACAAATAAATGAGACAGAGGGTGAGACAGAGCGGGGCACGCCTTTCACACTGAAGCTGGAAGGCACAAGAAGCAATGGAAGTCACAGGAGGGTGACTGGGTTCTGGGCAGGATCCCTTTTGTGGGGCTTACTTCTTTCCAGTGTGAAGCTCTCAGTGGATGTCAGGGATGGGGGTACAACTCGGGGACAAGGCAGGGCTGTACTCTGCACGTGGGGAGGTGAGAACCCATGTTCTGCCTGGGGGAGGAGGGTGCAGCCAGTGAATATGCCAGGGTGAAGGCCTCGTGAAGGAAATTTGGGCGGAACTCTGGCAGTAGATAGGTAGCAAGTAAATTCGAGACACCCCAGGAAGCAGAAATGAAAAGATCCTGGTCAGCATCTCAAAAGTAAGTGGCCTGCTACAATGGAAAATGGAAAAAAATTACAGCGCCCAACTGTAGTGGCACAGAAACATGTCTATACAGGAATTCCTGAGAGGTCGGGAAATTCTGACCTGAACAGTGAGTTCATCAGTTTGAGATCCCTGTGTTCTCACTTCTGCAACGGTTTAAGAAGGAATTAGGCCTGGCTGGCAAAGGTCGGTTAGGCTGTCATACCCATACACCAAGGTTCACACCCGATACACGTTGCAGGTTCAATCCCCAGTCAGGACATATACAAAGAACAATAAATAAGTGAAACTACAACACAATATTTCTTTCTCTCTCAAATCAATTAAAATACTAAGAAATAAATATTAGCCTTGGCTGGTGCGGCTTGGTGGATTTGAGTGCTGGCCTGCCAACCAAAAGGTTACCAGCTCCATTCTCAGTCAGGGTTCATGCCTGGGTTGAGGGCCAGGTCCCCACCTGGGGGTATGCAAGAGGCAACCGATCGATGAACGATCAATGTATCTCTCACACACTGATGTTTCTCTCCCTTTCTTTCTCCCTCCCTTCCCCTTTCTCTAATAGCAAATAAACAACATTTTAAAAGTTTTACTAAATAAATAAAAAGTTAAAAAATAAAGCAGTCAATCCTGGGGACAGAAAGAGCATTTTCACAACCACCGTGTCTCCCACAACGGGACTGCACAGAACAGTAGTGGGCAAGGTGCCCAGGCCCCACTCTGTCCCTTTCCTCCCCTTCAGAACAAAAATAATGACACAGATACGGTGAGAAGTAGGAGTCATTACAGCCCAGTGGGAGAGGTAGACAAAAAGGAACTGGGAGGTCTGTCTGATCTATTCTGGTACCGATCTCGTTAAGATCTGGTTTAAGAAAAACATGGGGCCTGGCTCCGAACCCGGCTGAGGGAGGACCAGAACCCCACCCTGTCCCAATGGTGGGACAGACCTACCTTCCTCCAGGACATGAAGACTTGTGTCCTCTGAGGGAGCGAGGCGGGTGGACCTACTGGCACTGCGCAGAATCATGCATCCCCTTGGCCCAGACCTCTGGCTGCCGCCAGAGCACAGCTGCTTAGCGGGCGGGTCTCGAGAATCCCGGCAGGCTGGGTGCGTACTTGGGCTGCCTAATGGCAAACTCCGGTGGCTCCCTTTGGCACACAGACCCTGCTTCCTAACTGCAGAAGGTAAGCTCTGGGCTGCCGGGCTGCCTGCCTCTTCCTCACTCTTTCCTTCCCCATCTCCCACTGGAAGGGAAGGGCCATTCCGATATCCACTGGACTCCTGTGCCAAATTTCTTCCCCTTTTACTAGGGGTCGTCCCATTTTCGAGGTGTATTCTTGATCTACTCAGGTTCTGAGGACCACCTCCAGCTGAGACCACCAGGGCAGGTGGGCTTTCACTTTCCCCAATCCTTTTTTTGTGGTCCACTTGGCACCTGAGGTCACTTTCACCAATGGACGAGCGTGACAGCCTCTGGTACACTCGCTCCCTTCTCTCAAGTCCAGAACTGTTCAACACCCCCTTGTGGGGAAGAAATGAAGGGTTGGGACCACAGGGTGAGGATGCCCGTTCCACATGCTTCTCTCCCGCAGTCACAGCAGCTCCTTTTTCCCTAGAAGAGTTTTCTTGATGCGAACAGCTTCTCTCATTCAAAACATCCAGAGCCACTCGAAGCGACCGTCTGTAGGTCAGCTCCTCCACAGGTTTTGCTGAAACCTTCTCCTGTGAGGCTGAAGGATGATACAGAAACAAAGCCTGGTGATGTCCAGATGCCCTGGCACTGCCATGAGAGCACTGCTTTACAGGCTGGGTCTCATTCTGTAGCTAGTTTTCCACCCTAAGGGAGGACTAACACTTCTCCTGTCAGTCTTCCTCAAAGGGGGACGGGGCTACAAAACCATAGCTGGCTGTGGGATCTGTGTTCAGGGCTGCAGGGCTGTTTTTTAAAAAAAACAGATTGAGTGACTCTTACCTGAGTGGGTTACAAAAATAAATTCCTCCAGATTACAAAACAGTCCTGCCAGTAAAACACATTCAGATGTTTCACAAATCCTCTCACAGCCTGACAACTCCCAATTCAATCAGTGTCAATGAGAACCCAGTTCAAAGAAATAAAGAACTGGAAGGCATTGTACTCTGGGATGGAGGGTAGAGTGGGAAAGACCATACAGAGAGGACTCCTTGTGGGCTGGTCAAGTTTCTGTATTTCTTTGCAAGAGCAGGAAAGAGCACCCGAGGCACTGAGTTCAGCCTGGCCTCTCTCTGCTGCAACAGCATCATTTATTTATCCCCCTCCCCCCCAGACCTGGCACTATTCATGGGAACCAGGTGACAGATGCAATCTTGTAGCTCAACGAGCATAACCTCCATCAACACAGGACTTCCTATGTTTCATATCAAGGTGTGCACAAATAACTGGCCACCAACACGACCTGAGCACACAGATGGTGATGACCAAGAGGTGATGGCTGACACGCCAAGGGTGCTTTGAACAATAAAAAAATGCTTTTCCAAAGACACAGGAATATAGACCCTATTCTACAAACACAAAGGAAGGAATTCTGAGCGACCCCTTTACAAGCACATGGGGTAAACACTCCCACACTTGGAGGAGAAAGAAAACTCAGGGCTGCCTGCAGCTGGGGTTTCCTGGGGAGTGAGGGTGCCTCAGCAATCCTCTGTAGGGCTAGGCCCAGGCAGTCTCCCACCTATGCAATATGCAAAGAGGGCAGGGGTCACTGAATCCCAGCAATGCTAAGGCCAGGCCAGATCAGCCACACAGTACCTTCCCCACTGGGCTCAGCTTCAGAATTTAAATATACAGCCTCAGAAACCTTGGGCATAGACCAGACAGTAACAGCATCATTTTACAGGATGAGGGGAAAAAGGAAAAAAAGAAAAAGGAAAAAGAAAAATTCTTTCCACCTTTCCTCAAGGAACCAAACCCATTCAGTGTTCTGTGTTCCCTGGAGGCCATGGATATGACCAGCAGATCCTGACACCCTGCCATTCTAAGAGTCAAACACAGATCGGCCCTAGCGGCAAATACTAGAAAGGTTTAAAGTTCCTTTCCTTAAGCCTAGGGAATTCACGTTCCCTTGTGTGACAGGACTAACTGGTGAGTCAGATCATTTTGACTTGGAGAGTGGTGTCCCCTACATGTATGTCCCCAAACCCTCCCTTCCTTCGTTAAGGTCTCACAGATCCTTACCCAATAAGGCAGCAATGTCCTCGATGTGGGACTTTCTCAAGATCTTGGCTTCTGTGCTTTTCACTCTCACTCTGCAAGGACAGAAACGACGGTCATACGCTACTGGATACCTGACAGGCCATAGAGACATTTTCAAACACATTTTTCTTCAAATGACAAAAGAACTAGGCTCGTTTTCTTCCTTCTCAACTTTCCACTTAAACTAAGTTAAAGCCAACTAGGAATCATGTGCCTGAGGTTAGAGGCAATGAGGACCCTGGTGAGTATGATTTTTTTCCTCCCTTTTAAGACAGAAAAGGTTGGCTGAATTTAAGAGTAAGAGTGAATTCAAATTGTGACTTTTATAAGGCAAACCCTACTTTCAACTGCACATATAACTCTTTCAGTTTTGTTTTCACAGTAAAGATAATGTCACTGAAAGCTGTTTACAGCCCAGCAGGTGTGTTTTAGTTTAAAAGGATGTGCTTTCCTTTCAAATTCAAGTATTCAATTATCTCCCCAGCCGCAGGGAGAGTGAGCTGGGGACTGACCAAGCTTAGAGGGAGGCTCTGAAACAGGGGTGGGGACCTGCCACAGGAGCCCTTCTCGGTTGTTTTAATTCTGTTTATAATAGGCAGCTATTCCATCAGACACACGATACCAGTCTTACAGGATCTAAGCATTTTAATCCTCATTCCAGATGAGTTTATGTCCTTCTATCCCAGATAATCAAGAAAACAATAATATACTGCCAGAGTCATGGGTCTGCCTCTGGAATGCTCAATAAGTTTATTAGAGGGGCAGGCTCAAACGACATCGCCCTGGCTGGTGTAGCTCAGTGGATTGAGTGTGGGCCTGCGAACCACACAATGGCGGTTCGATTCCCAGTCAGGGCACATGCCTGGGTTGCAGGCCGGTTCCCTGCAGGCCAGTTCCCAGCAGGGGACACACGAAAGGCAACCATACATTGATGTTTCTCTCCCTCTCTCCTTCCCTTCCCCTCTAAAGATAAATAAATAAATAAATCTTAAAAAAAACACATCAAATGTTTCAAAACTGATGGGCTTATTACACAAATTTGTAACGGGGAAAAAAAAAGACACAAATAAATCCATGGGAAGGAAATATCCTATTTGAACACCAATGATGAGAGTTTACCCTGTTGTAATTTATATTAAATTTAAATAATAAATTTATTATGGAATTTAAATTTACATTTTTGTACTGGTCTCTCTGGAGATCACACACAATGCCTTGTGTGGATCTTCAATTTCCAAATTAGTATAAAATAAAATCAGTTGTTTTCCTCCTAAGATCATTATGAGGATTAACCAGTTACAATAACTAAAGAGTTAATTTAGTAAGTCCTTAGGCATGGACTTCTCTTTGGGGGGGAGGAGGAGGCACCAGAAATCCCATAAGGAAGAATATAGCATAAAAAAACCCGTTAACACTTAACTTTTTGTCTACGGAAAGTATCTGAACATTTAGAAAAAATTCCTTTTTTCTCTTAGTTAATATCTCAGTCCTGGCCAAAACCTGTTTAAAAACAAAAAAAAATCCTGGTTATTATGACACAGCAAACAGCTGACACAAAGTAAGAAGCACTGACGACAGATACAAACACAGCAGGTAATTCTTTAAATACACAAGTGCAGAACTTCAGAGATATTCTGTCTCATCTCCCTCATTTTACAGGAGGGGAAACTGAGGCACAAGAGGTCAATGGCAGACTCCCGGCAAAGATGGACTTCTGCCTTGCGGTTTGATTTTCCTCCTACAGCTTGGCTGGAAAGTCTCCCCAGATCCTCATGTTATTTACTATCATAGGGCTCCCTGCCAGAAATTTCCTTGAATTACAGCCGTATGTGCCTTTCAGAGCTGTTAATTTTTTTTTTTTTTAGCGTGAAAAAAAGACACTTCCAGCAGTTTAACCTTGTAAGCACTCCACCAAAACCCCATTAAACGGGGAATGATTCGGTGCCAACAGAAACAGCAGCCAAATGTTCAGGCTCAATTATTCCACTGAAGCTCCTGTGTCTCTCTTGATAAAGACTTTGTCACCTGAAAAGTCATTTCTATTCCTGAAATTAGACAATAAGGCTGTCACCTTTGCAGGCCATAATCGCTCTTTCCATCTGCACAGGACATACTTGGCGTCCGTCATGACTTGGACTCATGTGGCAAGCGGGAAGGATGTGGCACACAGTGCCTGAAGGTCTGGTGTGACGGACCCTGCAACAAAATTTGCAGGGTGGTTTCTAACACGGTTCACTGGTGACTTTTAGGCAGATGCAACCCTTAATGCCAAAGGTTATGGGAGTTTATCTCCAAGTGGTAACCCTGCAGGGAGATGCTTGATACCAAAGAGAGATGACCAGCCCTGGTACCCAGGGAAGCACCTTTTTTCGGTCGTTATTTCGGTTTCTTAAATAAATAAAACACAGCCAAATTCCCTTCCAAAACCCTCTATCTATATTACTTCTTAAAGGCTTCTAAATAAGTCACCTCTATGCTGAAGGCTGCCTCGGACCTCAGCACAGGAAGCATTTTTAACAAAATGCACAACTGTCCCCCATTTGGGGAGCTAACAGTTGACCGCAGAGGAAAAAAATAAAATCGGAGGGAAAGGCCTGTTCTTTTGGCCGCCATATCCCTGAAGGACGGGACAGCTGCAGGGGCTCCTTACATCAGTGGGAAAGCTGGCTGGGCTGTCAGCATAAATGCAAAGGAGCTGGGTGGTCGTTTGTGCAAAGGAGGAATTCGCCACAGCAGCGAAGGTAGGTCAGTTAGCAGGGGGTTGGGGGGTCGGTAAGGCAGCAGAGAAGGGGTTCAATCAGCAGAAGAGGGGATTCAGGCAGGAAAGGCGGGGATTCGAGCAGCAGAGGAAAGGTTCACACAGAGGGGGTACAGGGACAGAAGTAGGGGTTGCGGGCAGCAAAGGGGGGTTCACGCAGTAGGGTGGGGGGGTTCAGTCAGCAGAAGAGGGGGTTCGGAGAGCAGAGAGGAGCTCATGCAGCGGAGTGGAGGGTTCAGGCAGCAGGGGTGTTCGGGCTGAAGAAGGGGACATCAGGCAGCAGAGGAGATTAGTGAACAGAGGTGGAGCTCACGCACCAGGGGCGAGGGGGTACCGCGGAAGCGCGGAGCCTCTATCCCCTCGGGAAACGCCCCGAGGAGCCTCTATGGGGGTTCACCACTCCCCACCCCCCAGGCCTGGCCGTCTCAGTCTCCAGCCGACCGAAGAAGTACAGTCCGCCAGGCTCACCAGGTGCCCGGCCTCCCCAACGCGGCGTCCCCGAGGCCAGCGTGGAGAGCGAGGAGGCCGCGGTGGCTTAACGGCGTTGGCACCCGCGCCACCCAAGCTGCTGCCGCCTTCGCCCACGCCCGTGCTCACCACCACCTCCTCCTCGCCGCCGCGGCCGCCGTGGTTCCCTGCGGGCAGGAGGCGGAGCCAGTCTCGCGGCGCCTCTGAGTTCCCCCCCCCCCCGAGCTGACCAATGGAGCGCGTGCGACTGCGCCGTGGTCCCACCCCTTCCGTCGGGCCGCGTGCGAAGCTGGCTGACGGACAGGTCGGCGTGGGGCGGGCGGGCGCCGACTGAGAAAGGGCGCAGGTGGGCATTAACAAACTGACTGTCGGAGGCCAGGCTGCAAGACCAATTTGGAGTGGGGTGGGGTGTGTAGACTGAGTGATCAGTGATAGGTGATGTGCGCGCGCGAGGGTGACTGGCGGGCAGGCAACCTCCATATTCGTGGCCGCTTCCCTACTCGAGTTTGTCAAGGGCTTTGGCCCAAAGCTGTTTGTAAGCCCACGACCGCCAGTCAGACCCGCGCGGCTTGGCACGGACCCTGAGGGAACATTCCAGAACCATCTAGAGCCTTCTTGTTCCTGAGCACCCTCTGCTGAAGCGATTCAAATTCAGGGCGGTGGCGCACACCCAGAAAAGGGAGTCGTGCATGTTGCAAATAATCCGCATACTTTGTCCGGTACTTGTAGAAACAGGGCTCCTGCATAGCCCCTGGAAGCCCTGCGCACGGTGTCTCTGGCTCCCCCCACCTTTCTCTTTTCAATATACTTATTTACTATAATGTTAGTTTTTAAATTTGAGATAAGATCAACACAGAACGTGACAGTCATCTCTTTAATCCGTGGGGAGTGATTCCAAGACCCTCACCGAGGCCTGAAACCATGGAAAGTACCCAGCCCTCTCTATACAGATATTTTTTTCCCATATGGTTGACCCTTGACCCAAGCAGGGGTGACAGGTGTGGACCTTGTGCCACCAGAAGTCCCCCTATACCTTTTGACTACATCTTTTGCCCTTTGCATCTGTGAAGTCGACCAACTGCTGTTGGGACGGAAGGGGACCGAAAATTTGCCCTCCTGAAGCTGCCTTTTGGGATATGGATTTGAACCTGGTTATTAAGAAACAAGAATCAGAAAGAGCCTTTGACTCTACTTCTTCCTGCCCCAGAAATTCAGAGGGAAATATCGGCTACAGCAAGGAAAATCTTAGTATTCGGTTTTAGCAGCCTCATTTGCATTGAGTATGGTGGGTGGGAGGGCATCAAATAAGGACTACTTTGCTAGATACCCCTGTCCCATCGTCTCTGAGTTGTCGTTGAAGAATTTACCTGCCATATGAGTTCTGCTCTTCCTCAATTACCTATAAATCACTCTCACTTCTGAAATCTAAGACTCTGTCCCCCACCTTTTCTCTTTTCTCTAAAATGTCATATACCCAATGCTGTCTCAGTGTCTTTGGAATTTTCATGCTTATGTGAATTCCCCATATGTATGTATTAAAATTTGACTTTCTGTTCTGGCCAGTGTGTCTCAGTGAATTGAGTGCTGGCCTGTGAACCAAAGGGTCACAGGTTTGAATCCCAGTCAGGGCACACTCCAGGGTTGTGGGCCAGATCCCCAGTAGGGGATGTGTGAGAGGCAACCATACTATGATGTTTCTCTCCCTTTCTACCTCCCTTACCCTCTCTCTAAAAATAAATTTAAAATATAAATATATATATATTTTTTTAATGGACTTTCTGGCCTGGCTGGTGTGACTCAGTGGATTGAGCTTGGGCCTGCGAACCAAGGGAGTACGGTTGGATTCCCAGTCAGGGCACATGCCTGGGTTGCGGGCCCATTCCCAGCAGGGAATGCATGGGAGGCAACCACACATTGATGTTTCTATCCTCTCTCCTTTCCTTCCCTCCCCCCTCTAAAGATGAATAAATAAAATCTTTTAAAAAAATTAAAAAATGGATTTTCTCCTTCTAATCTGTCCCTGTTCATCTGATTATTAGCCCAGCTAGAAGAACTTAGACAGTGGGATAAGTTTGGGTTTTTTTGGGTTTTTTTTAGCTCCCACAGTTTTGGTGAGCCAGCCAGAAGAAAATAAAAAAATCTACAGTCGGGAATGTGGAAACAATGAGTAGCAGTTGATTGAATTTGCTGACTTGAACCTGGCAGATGTGCAACCCACAAAAAGCCAAGTGTATGTATAGAAATAAATCTGTGGATAAGTGGACCTGTGCAGTTTAAATCGATGTTCGAGGGTCAGTGGTACATGAAGTTTAAATTATAAATTAGGTACAGTAAGAGACTAATAACAATAATAAAATGGAACAATTATAACCATGCTGAAATAAAAGTTATGTGAGAGGCTTTGGGGTCATTATTAAGTAAAATAAGGATGACTTGAACTCAGCACTGCCATGAAGTACTTCTGACAACCGTGTGTACAGAACAGAGGGATTGTTCACCTTAGGGGATGGTGGGAATGCAATTCATTCATCCCACTACTCAGAATGGCACGCAGTTTAAAACTTATGAATTGTTTATTTCCGGAATTTCCCATTTAATATTTTCAGACCACAGTGGGCCTTGGGTAACTGAAATCATTCGTAAGGGGGGGACTACTATATCTTAGTGTCAGGTGTACAACTGAACCATTTGATGTATATATATACATTTTTTCTGTTGCTTCTTGACATGTTATAATCCTGCTCAAACATGGACCTGGTGTGGAAGTGTCACGTCAGGTAGAAAATAAAAATTGGGGAGGGTGGTTCAGTTTACATCTTTTCAGAGTTTAGGGCCTTTCAGGTCCTAATGTGCCCCCAGGGCTGCACGGAGGGGGAGGGAAGGAGTGGTACTCCAAGGCCTGAACCCTGAGGCCTTTGTCTGTCTGCCTGACTCCTGGAGTGTCACAGCTGCCTCTTGTTTTCTGAACTTCTTGTATTAAACTTGGCTGGCTTAAGGGGAGCTGTCATTGACACCTGTAAAGCTCCTGTAGGGCAATGGTTGGAGCCACAGTGTGACTGGCAGTTTGTTCATGCCAGCCATCGGATTGGATTGTCAGTGTCAACAAGGTAGAGGCATGGTCAAGTTTTCACTGTGGTCCCCTTATGTCCTGATTAGGGACTTGAATGGACTGACACACCAGGTGAGACTCAGTTCAAAGACTATTTTGATGTTACACTTCAATCACCTTAGAAAACATAAATTCAGTTCTGGTTCAGGCTGGCTCGCTCACTAGTGGCACGTGGATGAGTAGGTTTTAATCTTTGATTCAGTTCATGGTTCAATAACAAATTTACACATTTTTTACCCATCATCAAATTAACAAAGAGGAAAGACGTCCTCATCCCTGGCCCTATGAAGGGTTAGGTGGGTTGTGATAAAAGGCACCTGGGAAACGTGAACTGCAGCTTATTTGTCAAACGCCTTGAAAATGTTTCAGACACTCCAGCCCTGCCATTTCCACTTCCAGTGACTTATCATACGGACACAGACAAACATGCCCCAAAATGGGGGGGGGGGCAGGTTTCCTGCACCATGATTTATACTGTGGAAAAAATCAGGAGTCACCTGAAAGTCCAACAATAGAAGTGCAGTTAAGTTTCCAGTGGCTCACTCCTCTCCCCTTGGGCATGTGTAGAGCCTGTGAGGTGATGGGGTTGTGCCCCTGATTATGGGATACTATATTGCAAAGGCAAAGGGATTTTAGGATGGAATTAAAGTCCCTAATGAGCTGACCTTTAGTAAATAAAAATGGGTCTGGCCTAATCAGGGGAGCCCTTTAGAAGAGAAACTGGGGTCCTCCTAAGGTCACAGAGGCTCTTCTGTGGACCAAGGAGAAGCAGCACCCAGTGGGTCATGCAGCTGCCAGGAAGGGAATTCCACCAACAACCTGTGACCTGGGGAGAGACCCTAGCCTAGCCTCAGAGGAGACACAGCCCCACCAACACATGGATCATCACCCTAGAGACCCTGAGCAGAGGGCACAGCCCCACAGTAGGAAACAAATACAAGGGGCGCTCCTTCATCCACCACCGTGGGATTACCAGTTCCCTCCCCCCGCTTTAGTCAGTTTCCATTTTGTGCTCTGGCTGCCCCTGGTGCTTCATGGACCAACTCAAGTTTTAGCTCTTTCAGGAAACCCTTCCACTGAGCCCACTGCCAGTCTGCACTTAAATCATGGTGGCCGCTGGTGCTGTTCCAGTCTGGTTCTCTCTCCTCTGGGCTGGGGGGTGGGGCACGTAGTGATTTTATTTCTACTTGCTTGGGTGGATGCAATGTCAGCAAAGTGCTGTGGCCAGCATGCATTTCCTTTTATCATGACACTGACCTGCTGGGTGTTTATCACTGCAGTTTTGCCTCAGAAAGTTGGGCTAATTTCACCGTAATGTAATTATTTGTCTACACACTCATCTCCCCCCAGATGCTGCCTTCCTGCTGACAAGAGATGATGTGTCATTCATTATTGTATCATAGAGAAGTGGGAAAAATTAATTTGACCGGCTGGCACCAAAATCATTTTAGAGATTTACTGTAGAGTTTGTTTAGGAAAATACCTTAATTAGTACAAGGGCATGGTAAGGGAGGCCCCCGTGACACAGGATGAAAGGCCCACAGTCAACATAGCTGCTGTTTGGGAAGAGAGGGAGAGATGCTGTGAGAGGTGGGAACCACGGAGATCAAAAGACAGAGAGACAACCTCGGGGGGTAAATGCGGACAGGTAGAAGTCTGAGACCATCAATATCCTCCTATTCATCTACGAGGCTCAGTCAAACCCTCCCTGAGTTGGATGCACTCAGCCAAAGCAGAGAACAAGCCTGCAGAGCCCTGAGCCTGCCAGCCAGGAGAAGCCAGGCCCCCAGGGGCCCAGTCGGCACCCAGTGGATGGACAGTGCTGGCTGAAAGGATGAAAATTAACATGATTATTGAAGGATGCCTGCAATTCATAAGAAACCCAAGGAGAACAAGCTGCTAATTAAAACAAAACCCCCAGACTCTCAAATCACCAAGGGACCAAAGCTGTAGACCTGGTCCAGTCACAATGACTTTGGTGAGTGTGGCGCTGTCCTGGAAGAAGGGTTAGGCAGGATTCTGTCTTGTTCCTTAGCTTCCTTTGGTGACCTGGGAC